AATCTTCATAAGTCTCTACGACGACACGCAATTGTAATAGAGTTGATGAAAAAATTCTTGGAGGTGATGGACTAAATATTAATTGATCATATTGAGAAGCTGAAGTTGGATTGAAATTTAAATTTTTTAAATTCTTGAACCTAGTAAAGATTTGTGTATATATAAATATATTTATATCTTTGATTGAAGTCGACTCTTGACAACGTTTACTAATATGAATCATAAGTGATGAAATTTGATTTTTGAAATTTTGAATTAAATAACTTCCATCTAAATAAACATTAAAATATTTTATTTAATTGACCTTATTTATAAATCAATTTCCCATAATTTTTATTTAAAATCTCTGATAGAATATATTGTATCGTCAACAATATGCTATTTTATATTGATCATTTATTTTATATTATAAACGTCTTTCTTGATGAATCAATGAGTACTAATTGAAGACTTTACAAAGTAATAATAAATGTATTCTCTTACAAATCATGTCTTTATTGTGAAATCTCTTCAATAACTCATTTTTAACAATAAATATTTTTAACAAAAGTATTTTATCAAAAACTGTCTGTCATAAATCACGTGTTGACTATATAAGGATAAATGATTTTAATATTTTTATCCAATTAATCAATGATCGAGTCGAACAAAACAAATATCTTACCGGTAAATAGATCTCGAGCTGTTTCTGATGCAAGATGACATAGACCAAGGCTGTATAAATTCGGATAATTTTTTGAACGAAGAAAACGTTCCATAGACGATGATTCAACATTGATCCATCCGATTTTATGATGAATTTTAGGTAAAATTTTCGAACAAAATCGATCAAGTATTGGATCAGTAAAGTTAAGAAAACCATAAGGAGACACTGTCAATGTTAAATATGCTGTAACAAATGAATCTTGCACAATAGTATCAAGTCGTTTATTAACACCTATTAAAGAATAGAGTACGTCACAACTATGCAATTTTTTCAAAATCATCATAAGAATTTCATCAGGTAAATCATTTAATTGAATAAGCGAATCTTCCATCTTTATTTTGACGTATGTGATTTTTTTCCTTTTGTTATCTATATATATACTTATGTCTTTTATTTGACTGATGTCATCCATAAAAACAATGATATATTACTCTATAGTCTTAATTGATAATGAAGGAATGAATAACCTATTGATTGAATGACATTTTTTTTTTCTTCTCTCTCTTTTTATTCGACCTTGAATTTCATATTTGCCGATAAACAATCAATAAATGTTTTATGCTTTTTTAGAATATAAAATCCGAAACTGTTGTATGTTATATGTCAAGTAGATAGTTCAAAAGAAAAGCGACAATCCTCAAACAACAGGATCTGTCAGTATTTAGAATATTTATTACAAAATTAAAAAACTTTGTATTATCTGATGACTCTCTCACTTGCTCTTACCAAAGAATAGAACATTTCATGCATTCTTTCTCGTATAATGATAAAGAAAATTCATGATATTGTCGAATATCATGATATAAATAACATAGAAAGAAATTCCATTAAACTATAATTTTAATAGAAACAACCAAATATATTATTCATATTCACTAAGTACAATCACTTGGGAAAGTTCTAACGCAACTCGTCTTCCATTACCTAAAGCAAATATACAAACTCATACATAAAAAAATTAAATTCAATTGTTTGTTCTTACCAATATCATCCAATTGTTAATGTTTTACATAAGATTGATTTTTAATGGTAACGATATTAGATCTTTGTATTTATTTAAGTAATGTTTCAAGTATTCTAACTGAATCATATGATTGTACTCCAATTCGTTTTTGAATAAAATCGAAAATACTTTGTAATTCATGAGTTTTGACAAGATCAATGAGTAACAATCGAAATTTATTCTTTTGTCCTCTTTTCTTATGTGATTGAACTGTTTTAGTAGCCGAAAGTGATGAAAAAGAAAATAATAAGATAAAGAATATATCTATTTTTATATATTCTAGATTACAGAAACAAAAAAAAAATTAATGAAAATATTTTAGATTGTTGTCCCAAACATCTAGTACATATGCCAAAGCTGGTTCTTCAATACCAAAATTACTATCATTCGTGGTGGTTGAGTTGTTTTCATCACTTGTAACATAACGTGTTGCATAGTGAATTGGTGCAGGAACAGGTATGACATTTGTACATCGAACATCAGTATGACATAAATAATATCTATTCACGTTGCAAAAAAACAATATAAGAATGTTTTTTTCAAATGAAAATTCTTACGTTAATTGTTGAATATCATCTGATGTAAAACCGATATCATCATATAATACTTGATAAAACGTTGGTTGTGATGTACCTTGAATAGTTGTATGTGAATTAAGATAAAAATCAAAACCATTTCGTAAGACAATATCCGTATCAATAACTGTTCCTATAATGAAAAAATAAACAAATATTCAAACAATAAAATCCATTTAACCTGGTTGAACATTATTTGCTTGATTAGATTGTTCATCAAAAGTAAAAAACGAGTATTATGATCATTCTTAACAACAATAAAACAAATTTTCGGTAATGGATTATGACCATATAATTCTATAAAAAAAAAAAGAATTTGTTTATTTAATTCAGTCTTTGAACAATTATATTTACCTTGACATGCTTGTCGAATAGCCGGTAATTTATTATCAAGTATTTTTTCAAATGATCCATCATCAATACCAGCTCGATACAGAATCAGTTTGTGTGGCAAATAAGAATTATAATTAGAAAATTCACATAATAATTCACGAACATAAATATGAAGATCGTTGATAAATTCAAGTGGAATTTTTTCTTGTGGTGAAAATTGTACACGATCAGCATATTTTGTACCTGTTGAATCTTTTGATCCAATAATAGTAACAATTGGTGATCGTGCACATGAACATGTTATGTTAGTACAAACAATACCAAAAAACATAAATATATCACGTTGAACTAATGGTGAGGGTGTGGATGTTGGGTGTGGGTGTGGGTGGGTGTGAGTGTGGGATGTGGGTGGGTGTAGGTGTGGGTGTGGGGTGCGGGTGGGTGGGTGCGCGTGTGAGTGTGGGTGGGTGTGGGGTGTGGGCGCGCGTGTGAGTGTTGGTGGGTGTGGGTGTGGGTGTCAGGCTTAGCTCAACTCACATTTACCCACACTCACACACATCCACACCAACACCACACCCACCCCCCACACCCGCCACCCACCCCCCACATCCACACGCACACCCCGCCCACATCCACACGCACACCCCGCCCACACCCACACCCCACATCCACACGCACACCCCGCCCACACCCACACCCACACCCCACATCCACACGCACACCCCGCCCACACCAACACCCACCCCGCTATTCCTATTTTTCCTATATTTTATCAAAAATACTGGAAAAATTTCACAAGACTTGACTGTGCCCTGAGGAGGAGTACAGGAGTCTTCGCGGCGCAATCCCCCTCCCCCGGGTCATCAGTTTTTACGAAAAACTCAGAGGATGAAAATAGGTGTTTCTTGAAGGTAAGGTATATATATTTGAGGTATGGCTCGACGTACAGAACCTAAATTTTGGCTATTTTTATAGTGAAAATAATCGTAAAATTCAGAAAACGAAATCCTATATAAGAATTCCTATAATTTCGAAAATTCGTAATCGGAGGCCAGTATGATATTTTTGACCAACCAATAAACCTTTTCATTCATGAACGATATGTTTCATTGCTTAAAATTGAACGTGGTACAAAGATGAATAATTGCATGATATGAATGAGAATTTAA